TAAATAAGCCCGTCTCCAGCAACATTTCCAGTTTTTGTTGTTGTTCAATTTTTTTTGGTTTCTGCAGCGACTCTGAGCACTTTTCATACTCTTTTTTTTTTTTTTTTCTGGCTGAAGCACATTTGTTTCAATCTATAACAATAATCATCGACCGAAATTAAGAAATATATCGTGATATCAATTTTGGCCATATCACCCAGCCCTATGTTTGAATCAGGTTTCCTCTGTTGGAATAGAATTGGCTAGATGGTGCTGTAGCAAAAAATTGGGTCCTAGAAATGCGGTCCTAGAACTGCAGCCTCCGGTATTGCAGGAACATTGGGTTGTTTTTGTTAAGACCAATGCGAAAGTCGATCCATGTTTTTACCCTGCAAACACGCAGAGCTGTGAATGTGAACTGGTGGATCGATAAGAAGATGATTCATTATAAAAATCTAAACAGTAAAATGTGTTTATTTAATATAATAATTTATTGATGATAATTGTTTAAATTAAAATAATAATTAATCATTTTGACCTATCAATCATCTTAAAAATGGTTTAAAGGCTGAAATGTGAAGTGTATCATTTTATAAAACTTTGATTTTGTGAAAAACTTGTATCTGAACTGTAAATCATGCTTTTTTTAGTCATTTTACAGTTTAATAGTTTACCATAGACATTGCCCAATAACAGCGCAATAATATGCTAAGCTTTGTGCGTTGTTACTTTTGATATGAAATAAAGACTCGGATTTAAAATTCTGTCCATTTTATTAGGAAATTCAAGCAAAAAATACCTTTTTTGGCGCTCTTTAATGTGGCATGATAGATCGCTGTTGACACCTCCGATAAAGCGAAGCAGTAGCGCATGTGAACTGATTAGAGCCCGACCGATATGGTTTTTTTTGGGGCCGATACCGATATTAGGGAGTAAAAAAAGGCCCATATAGACATTATAGTACAGTACCAGTCCAAAGTTTGGATACTTTCCCATTCGTGTGTCCAAACATTTGACTGGTACTATATATAGAATACAG